CAGAAAACACCAATGCAAGAACAAAATTTTTAGGCTTCTGACCACAGATAGATAACATCGCTAACTTGCTAAATATCTTTTTTAAAAGATTTTATTTATTTATTTGAGAGGTAGAGTTACAGATGGTGAGAGGGAGAGACAGAGAGAAAGGTCTTCCATCCATTGGTTCAATCCCCAAATGGCCACAATGGCAAGAGATGGGCCAATCTGAAGCCATAAGCCAGGAGCCTCCTCCAGACTTCCCATGCAGGTGCAGGGGTCTAAGCACTTGGGTCATCTTCCACTGCTGTCCCTGGCCATTAGCAGAGAGCTGGATTGGAAGAGGAGCAGCCAGGACTAGAACCAGCACCCATATGGGATGCTGGCACCGTAGGCAGAGGTTTAACCTGCCTCACGACAGTACCGGCCCCTCTAAATATCTTTATAGATTATTATTTTTCTAGATGGGTAAAAGTGTTTCCTTTTAGCAAAATAAATATACACATAATGCTGTAATGGAGGACTTTTAGAAAAGTAATATTTTATGTAAATAACATACTTTCAGCAGTTAAAGATATATCAATAACAAAAACTGGAACCTCATCATTATTATTTTGCATTTGGGAATGAGGTACAAATTTCTAATGCTATGTTTTGTTTAGGATTTGTATTAACTTCAGGTATTTAAGGATAGAAGTGTAACCACTGAGAATCCTGTTGTAGGACCTTAGCCCTGAGCTGCACTCCCCAAACTTGAAAACAAATTAGAGAAAGAGACAGTGAGTTAGAACTGCAGGAAATCCATTCCACCTTCTTGTTTAACAGACAAAGTACAAGACTGTAGGGTGAGCAACTGCATGGCAGCAACTTTGGGCCCCAAGGCCTTGGTTCAAATCCCAGTTCCTCTACTGGGCAAACCATTTAACTTTGGGGAGCTTCAATTTCATCCTCTGAGATGGAGTTAGTACCACCACAGTCAGATCTTGTTATCCACAGGTTCTGCATACTTAGACTTAACCAACTACAAATTGAAAATACTTGGAAAAGGGTCAGCTTGTGGTACAGTAGGTTAAGCCGGCATAGCAAGCATCCCATATGGGCAACAAGCCCTGGCTGCTCCATTTCTGATCCAGGCCCCTGCTAATGTACCTGGAAAAACAGTAGAAGATAACCCAAATGCTTGGGCCACTGCCGCTTACATGAGAGACCTGAGTAGAGTTCTTTGTGATCATCTGGGTAGTGAACCAACAGATGGAAGATCTCTCTTGCTCTCGCTCTCACCCTGCCTTTCCAATAAATAAATAAATCTTTCCCAAAAAATACTTGAGAAAAAACTGCATCTGCATTGAACATGTACAGATTTTTTCCATGCCATTATTCCCTGAACAATACAACCTAACAATGATTTATAAGAACTTACACTGTATTAGATATTACAAGTAATCTAGAGATGATTTAAAGTATAAGGGAGGTTGTGCAAAGGTTATATGCCCTGTGGTCAGGGCATAGGAAGTGGTGAAAAAGGCTAGAGCGGCTTGATTATACTAATCCTCACTTCCTTGAAGACTCATTGCAGGAGATGAGTAGCTGTAGGAACCACCTTTCTTTTATCATCTGGAAGTTGAACCCTTGGCGAGGTCCACCTACCTTGGTTATGTTCTCCACAGAAAAACAAGGAAGAGTAGTCCCTGGGATGCAAGGGAAAGCAGTAACGATGGTTCTGGAAGGAAGTCACTGCAGAGGGTGTGAGAACAGTCAGAGGAGACAGCTTTTCAACCCAGACGTGGCTAACATGTTCATAAAGCTAAGATGAAATGTAAAATGTGTAATTGCCATGCTGGGCAGTAATGAATAGATTCCCTCCACACTGCATCAACACTGAGTTTCATATCAACTTGCTCCTTGAAAGATGTAGGAAACAATAAAATTCCGCTTAAACCTGATGACTGAGGAAATCAAGACACATGGAGCATAAATGCAATGATGTCTGGCTGGAGGAAAAGTGAACCGTGTGGCTTGAAATACAGAGAGCATCCGTGCAAACACACACAAATCCAAGTATGCACACACACAAATACACATGCAAGTACATAGACACATGGGTACAGGTGCACATGTGCGCAAGTATGCACACAGAAATACAAGTGCACACACATGCAAGTAATCATGCACAAACACACCTAAACACACATGCAAGCCTGCTGACACACAAATACAAGTACACACACATGTATTATGCACATACAAAATACAAGTGCACACATGCAGACACAAATGTAAGTGCACAAGTGCAAGTATGCACACACAAACAAGTGCACACACAAAAACACATGCAAACAGACACAAATACAAGGGCACACCCTTGCAAATGTGCACACACAAATACAAGGGCATGCACATACTTGTATGCACACAGAAATGTAATTGCACACACATGCAAGTATGCACATACAAAGTGCACACTTAAACACACATGCAAGCCTGTAGACACACAAATACAAGTGCATGCACTTGCAAGTGTGCACACAAATACCAGGGCACACTCATACATGTATGCACACACAAAATACAAGTGCACACGTGCAGACACACAAATTTAAGTGCACACACATGCAAGTATGAACACACACACAAGTGCACACATATGCAAGTATGTAGACACCAAGTGCACTCACATGCAAGTATGCACACAGAAACACAAGTGCACACACACCAACACACATGCAAGTATGCACACAGAAACACAAGTGCAAACACGTGGGCATATGCACACAATGGATCTTCCTCTGAATTTCCTGGAGATCTGATAGATGAGAGAATTGGTGGTGGCCTCAGTGCATGATTTGCTAATGTACGATTTTCTTAGCCGAAAATCCTTCAGTTACAAGATTCAGCATTTTGATTCTTTTTTTAAGTGAAGCTTCCACAAAAGAATAACTGAGTTGGCAACAACCAGGAAGGACCCACTTCTAATCATATTTACTGTTTGATTTAAGGTACACTTAAATGATCTCTTAATTTGGAGGATTCAAAACACTCAAGCCTCTTGGAAGATTGTGATCTGCAACCTTAATTTACTTAAAAGACACCCCTCCTAAGTATGTTGCCTGATACTAATTTTTATGCACAATCTAGATGGCCATTCAGCCTTTCCCCAGGGAAGTTCTAGGAGAAGTGGCCAGGCTTCTCTAAATCACAAATGGAATTAGATTGCAGGCTGAAATGGTATTTTTTGTGGGACGGAAAGGGGACGAATGCACGCTGCTCCTGTTCATTTCATTAGCAATGGTGGGGATCCCTGGAGGGAAGAGAAAAGAGTGTGGAGTTTGAATACAGTTTGGGATCAGGAAAAACTAGAGCACTGTTCAGTTAAAAGAGGAAAAGGATCCCAAGACTCTTCTGTTTATTAAAGAACCGGGGAGGAGCTGTATGCCGAGGGAAGAGCAGAGACTCTGTTTAAAGAAATGCCAGCTGTATTTCAAAAATTGCATCCATCCTGTACTCTTTGCAGGAATTAATCCACTAGGGCCTTTGGAAATTCCCTTCTGAGGTGTGTTTTCTTGATAATTTGGCTGTTGTAAGTGTAGGTGCTGGTGTAAGTGGAGAATTTATGAGAAAACCCCAAATTGAAAAACAAAAGCACCAAACCAATGCAGCATTAACAGTGTTTCAGACTTCCATGAATCAAATCTGAAATGGATATAGGAAAATACTTCCCTTCTTCTTTGAAAAAAAAAAAAAATGAACAGGCAGGCAAACCCACTTCCTCCTCTATGGGGAGGGGAATAAACCACATTAATATCACATTTCAGCTCCTTTTGAAGGATGCTTGGAACATCCACCTGTGCTGCAGGTGCCACTTGTGCCCTGGTTTAATGCCCCAGCGTGCCTGAATGGGCTGGGCTCATCCAGGCCTCGGTGGGCGTGTGTGTTCATCTCATCCGGCAGTACAAAGCTGGCCGAGCCTACCCCCAGGAGCCTCTCAGCTCCTGGCAGGCTCTCAGCTTCTCTGAATAAGATGGAAATTTATTAGGAGGAAATTATTCTGGTGTCTTCACAAATACAACATTCCTGATAAAAATCTTGCTCCTGACAGCAGACTAACAAGATACATTTGTTAGCAGTGTCTGTTCCCAGGAATCAGCTGTGAATGCCCTGCCCTTTGATTGCAGCGTTTGAAGGAGACGCGTGCAGTGACAAGCAGGATTCGGGTTTCTCATTCCACAAACATCTGAGCTGGAGAGGCTGTGCCATGGGCTCTCTTGCTTGCATTCTGTGTGCCGTGACTCTCCAGGAGGGGAGGAAGGGTGACACCTGGCACACAGTAGGTGGACAATGGCTTATTACAATTCTAAAATTTTTGTTCATGAGACACAATTCCCGCTTCCAGAGAGCTCACAGCCTGACAGAAGAACTGGTCATTTCAGAGACTGGTAATGAGCTGACGGGACCCTTGCATGGCCCAGATGTATGTCCCCATTCATATAGAAGCAGTGATGCACTTTATTCACAAGTAGAGCTCTTAGAAAACCCAAGCTCTTGTTTGTTTTAGAAACTTTTGTCACTATTCTGATTTCCTATTTGCCGTACGTTAGAAGCAGCCGTTAAGACAGACTCTAGCTTGCTAAAAGCAGACATAGAAGCAGTGGTGCTGGGGTGTTCCAGGCATGTAGAAGGAAGGGAAGGAGACCAAACAAGGAGAATCATTCTACCAAAAAATCCAGACCCCAGAGAAGTTTTTGGGGGATTTGAAATACCAATTAGCACCCCTAATAATATGTCAGATATCGATATTAAATATTAGATTAATAAATAATTAATATTCATTAAAATATTAGATACTGATATTAAATATTAGAATAATAAATAAATTAAATAAATACTATATTGGATATTGATAATAAATATATTATCTCTGAATATGCTAAGGGAATTTGGGTACACAGGCCTATCTTCCACAGTCACGTTTCCGAACCTCAATTGCAAAAACTGACATTAATGAAAACAGTGTTTATATCTGTTCAGGGTGATGTACTTTAAAGGCTGGGCAGTGTTAAGGTTTCACTGTGTTTAATTCAGAAGTAGACCATTGCTTGAAACAGGCTGTAGTGAACTGCGGAACTGTAAGGGAGAGAAAGGATGTAGGTTATTTTCTACCCATTAACAGAATCCTCTAAAGTCCTTGGGTAAAGATGTAAATACAGTTATTGAATTTTTAAATATCATTTATTAGTTTCCTACCACTGTTGTAACAAGCTGCCACCAAATTAGTGGCTTAAAAACAACACAGACTTGTCTAACTGCCTTACAGTTCCAGAAACCTGAAGTTTAGAGTGACAGGGCAAAGTCAACATGTTTGCAGGGTTGCATCCCTCTGTAGGCTCTGGGGGTGAGAGATGCACTTGTGTTCTTCATTCCTCAGCTCATGGCCTCTTCCGCCATCGTCTTCAGGTCTCTCCAGCTGTTCACTGCTGCCGCCATCACTTTGCCTTTTCTGTGTGAGCTGAGTCTTCCTCCATCTCCTGTTTATGAGGACACTTAAGAAAACATGTAGGGCTCAGCTGATAATCCTGGATCATCTCTTTATCACAAATTCTTTAGCTTAATCATGTCTGCAAATAGAAATCTGTTGTGTAAGGTGGCATTCACAGATTTCAGAGATTAGGACTTGGGTATCTTTGATATATCACAGGTCAGAGTTGTCAGTAGGGGGAACACTTCTTCCCCAACTGATCGTTCTCCTCCTCATCCTCACCGTCCTGTGCCCACTGTCTTGCTTCTGTTCCGGCTACAGGAGATAAATGACTTAATCTGACTGGTGACCATGAAAGAAGAAAAAGGCATCATCGTGTCTCAGGCCCTCCCATGCAGAATCTGAGCCTTAACTCTGAGGTTGGGACATGGAGGAAGCTGGAACCCACTTGCTTGTGACTGTTCTCTGATAGGAACTTCATTAGTAATGATGTCATTTAGTGCTTGATGACATCACTCTTTTGTCACACTGCACAATCAGTGTAGGACTCAGGGAGAGAAGAAGGTTGCTTATCCAGGAAAGCTGCTTACTATTAAATTAAAATAATACACATTTCCTAAAGTGACCCTCAAAATCTTTCCCCTTAGGAAAACTGTGTGAATACTTTGAAGTACTCTAATCAAATGTTAATGCATATTTAATTAATTATATTCACAGTATCTTTAGTCGCCTTTTTCAGTCAATAATGTATTGTGGTTATCTCTTCATGCCAATATGTATGGCTTTCATTCTTTTTTATTCTTTAAAGATTTATTGATTGATTTATTTGAAAAGCAGAATGAGAGAAAGAGGCAGAGAGAATGAGATCTTGCACTCACTCCACCAAAGAACACTGATTTATTCCCCTAAATGGCTGCAACAGCCAGGGATGGGGCAGGCAGAAGCCAGGAGCCAGGAACTCCATTTGGGTCTCCCATTTGGGTGGCAAGCCCTTGGACTGTCTTCCACTGTTCCCAGGTCCATTAGCAGGGAACTGGATTGGAAAAAGAGCAGCAGAGACTGGAACCAGGGCTCCGGCATCAGTCTGATGCTGGCATCACAGCTTATCTGGATTTATCACAACAACAGCCTCTAAATTTTATTCTTTTCAGTGGAAGCATTCCATTAATTATTTAACAAACCACCTAATCCATTAGATGTGGCCGAGTTTTTCCTGTTGTAAATATGAGTACAATGATGCCGTAGTTGGCATGTCACTACCGAAACTCATGTTGAAATATAATGCCATGTGATGGTATTAAGATGTGGGACCTTTAGGATATTATTAGAGGCCAGCGCCATGGTTCAATAGGCTAATCCTCCGCCTAGCGGCGCCGGCACACAGGGTTCTAGTCCCGGTCGGGGCGCTGGATTCTGTCCCGGTTGCCCCTCTTCCAGGCCAGCTCTCTGCTGTGGCCCGGGAGTACAGTGGAGGATGGCCCAAGTCCTTGAGCCCTGCACCCGCATGGGAGACCAGGAAAAGTACCTGGCTCTTGGCTTTGGATCAGCGCGGTCCGCCGGCTGCAGTGCCCTAGCCACGATGGCCATTGGAGGGTGAACCAACGGCAAAAGAAGACCTTTCTCTCTGTCTCTCTCTCTCACTGTCCACTCTGCCTGTAAAAAAAAAAAAAAAAAAAAAAGATATTATTAGGTCACAATGGTTCTGCCCTCATAAACAGATTAATAACGTTAGCAAGAGTGTGGGTTAGTTATCACGGGATTTGGCTTCCATCTCTCTCTCTTCTCTTGTGCTGCCTCATCAGATGATATCTTCCACCATTATTATCACACAGTAATGAGGTCCCCACCAGAAGCAGCACCTTGATTTTGGACTTTTCAAATTCCAGAACTGAAGGAAATAAATTGATTTTTATTAAAATTTACCCTGTTTATAACATTGTTGTAACTGCAGAAAGTGGATTCAGATGAAAAGCGCATTCTTTTATAATCATGAAGGAAATTTGCTCATGGCATCACTTTTCTAAGACTTTTATCAATGATAAAAATGGCAGTGATCTCAAATAATAATAAGTAATGAAGTGTCTATCTTAATTTATCATTTTAGAAACTAAACCAATCCATAAATGTGATTGCTCATCAGAGTGGTTAGTAGATAATTCAATAACTGTTAGCTATTATTTCATTATTATTTTCACTATTACTATTTAGTGTCTTTTCACATAATCCTTAGTAGATTACTGTGGATAACCTCTGTCGCTCCCCCTCTTCGTGGAGGAGCAACACTGAACCCTGCCTAGGCTTCATATCCGAGTCACGGCACCATTATGTCGCTCCCCCTCTTCATGGAGGAACGACACAGGACCCTGCGCTGTTCTTTCGTCTGCTCGGCCCTCCCCGGGTTTGCTGCTGGTTCTTCCCGGGTTGGCTACTATCCCTTCCACCTCCGTGGAAGGGCGGTTCCCCCTGGCCGCATTCCCCACTTCCGCAGGGGAGCGGCACACCGCCGGCCGGCTCTCTCGGGGGCTGCACAGGTGTTCCCCTTAGATGTTCCCCATAGATGTTCCTGGTGCATGCCGTCTCTCTCCTCCTTTATAGTCCTCCTCCGCCAATCCCAACTCGGCTGCCCACACGCCGAGTACGCTGCTCTCCAATCAGGAGCAGGTCCTACAGTTTATTGGTTGAACTGGAGGCAGCTGTGCGGAAGCTGTTTACTTCTCTCCCAGCGCCATATTGTGGGAGAGCAGATGCATAGAATAAGTCTTAATTCCAGTAGCTTAGTCTAGTCCGAGCTGCTCCCCACAGAGGAGAGCAGATGCATAGAATAAGTCTTAATTCCAGTAACTTAGTCTAGTCCGAGCTGCTCCCCACAACCTCTTTTTTAAAAGATTTATATTTTTTTAATTGAAAGGCAGAGTTAGAGAGAGAGAGAGAGAGAGAGGGAGAGAGAGAGAAGATCTTCCATCAGCTGATTCACTCCCCAAATGGTTGCAATGGCTGGGAATGGGCCAGAGCCAGGAGCCAGGAGCTTCATTCAGGTCTCGCACGTGGGTGCTGGGGCCCAAGCACTTGGGCCATCCTCTGATGCCTTCATAGGCACATTAGCGTGGAGCTGGATTGGAAGTGGAGCAGGCCAGGACTCAAACTGGCACCCATAAGGGAAGCCAGCACGTTAGGCGTCGGCTTAACCCACTGATCCACAGTGCTGGCCCCAGATTCTTACGGATAACTTTTTAGACATAGAGTCACTAGATGAATGAGTGTGCACAGTTGGAATCTTGAAACAGAAGGCCAAATCTCCCTCCAGTTTGTGAGTTTGTGTTCCTACCCTCCTTCACCAACAACGTGTAATTTTAAATCCTCTAAAATATGGTTATGTGAAAAAATGAAACTCGTTCCTTCAATTTTCGCTTAGCTGAATGATATGGAAAGACACTGCTTTTGTTGCTATGGCCTGTTTTACTTCCTCTTTCGTGATGTACATAATTTTTAAATGAGTCTACCTTTCTAATTGATTGGTAGAAGCTCTTTATTGGGTAAAATTTTCTGATCCTTTGAAGCTAAACCCTCTCACAAATACCATCCCACACTTTTTCTTTAGTTATGAAACTCTATTTGTATTACATTTCCGATATCGTTAAGGGTTCAAAACTTTATAATGGCATATTATAGAAATTCTACAGCAATAAGAGTATTCTTAAGCTTATTTTTAAAGCTTTATTTATTTATTCGAAAAACTGAGTGATGGAGAGGAGAGAGAGAGAGAGGGATGGAGGGAGAGGGAGAGAGAGCGAGAGAAACATCTAACATCCTCTCATTCACTCCCCAAATGCCAAAGCCAGGAGCCTAAGGGCCAGCATTGCAGCATATAAATTAAAGCTGCTGCTTGCGACCCTAACATCCCATGTCACCCCAGTTACTATACTTCATCATCCCACTTCCTGCTGATGAACAGAGGAAGGCAGAAGAATATGGTCTAAGTATTTGGGTCCTTGCCACCCATCTGGGAGTCCAGTTTGGAGTTTCTGGCTCCTGGCTTTGGCCTGGTCTAGACCTGAATGTTGCAATCATTTGGGAAGTGAACCAGTGGATGGAAGATTGATCTCTCTCTTTCTCTCTCTCTCTCTCTCACTTGCCTTTCAAATAAATAAATAAATAAATCTTTTAAAAAAGCTAAGAGTGTGGAATGCTATCTGTTTCTCCCACCTGATGTTAGGAGCCCAAATAATTAGTCACTGCCTACCAAGCACATTAGCAGGAAGCTGGATTGGAAGTAGAGGAGCCAGGACTCAATCCCAGCCACGCTGATAAGGGGTATGGGTGTCCCAAGCAGTGGCTTAACACGCCGAGTCACATTTTAACTACCAACAAGTAACTCAAGTAAATGCTGATTTACTATACTTCCAAAAGTGAACAAATACAGTCTTCTCTCCTTCATAAAGAATAATAGATTAGTGGATAGATTTTTCTTCATGTTTAGATATTCTCCTTTAATTCACTAACTTTTTGACTAGTGAGACCTAGAAAACAGCAGGACAAATAAAAACTAGCCAACACTAGCAAGAATAAGACTGTTGTGACTTTCTTCCTCGTGGTAAGGATGATTGTCCCAAAGTGGCTCAGTGGAAGTAAATGTGTCATTCTCTCCTGATGTCCCACAAGAGCAAAATGACACTTAAGAGTTCTGCTTCCTGAACAAGCTTGAGAGCCTTTCAGCCTCCCTGAGTGAGTAGCCAGCATGCTGAGGGACAAACACACGCGTTCCTTAGCCTGCTTCTCAAGTTGGCCGCTCTAACCAATCTCCAGTCTGACTCTGATTCTGCAACCACCAGATGTTACGGGTTGAACTGTGCTCCTCCAAGTTCATATGTTGAAGACCTAACCCCCAGTAGTCCCAATGCGGCCTTACTTGGAAATGTAGAAGGAAATTTGGAATTTGCAAATGTAATAGGTTGAGATGAGGTCATGCTGGAGCATGCTGGGCACCTAATCCAACAGGACTCGTGTCCCTGGACACACATACAGAGAACGCCACAGGACCACAAAGGCCTGATGCACCTTCAAGTCAAGCAATGCCGCAGATGGTCAGAAAGTCACCAGAAACCAGGAGGATAGTCTTCCTCACAGTCCTCCAAAGGAGCCAACCTTGCCCACACCTTAAACTTGGAATGTCATGAGTCCGTCATTTCTAAGCCACCCAGTTTATGGTACTTTATTATGGCAGCCCTAAAACCTAACATGCTGAGTGCCTCCTAAACCCCTCACCACAACGTGTAATTTCCTGTTTACTAAGTTCCACTTCTCCTTTGCCCTCTCCTGAGAACACCTTCTCTTCTTCCAGTTTCCTGTTTATGGAACTGTTGTCTGTCTATCATGGTCATGACCAGTCATGACCATGTCCACCAGTCATGGCCAGCTTCATGTTCTTAAGGCAACTAGAACAGTACAGGTGCCTGGTGGTCTTGCTTTTAAAGACAATGTTGTGATTGACTGGAAAACCCTGGAAAAGCATTTTGGAGTTTACTGGGTTGGCCATGGCAGAAGATCTGAGGTGCTATGGGTAACTCCCAAATCACTCCTTTCCACGGTTCACTGGGAGCCCATTGGAGCTCGGCTGACCTGCTTAAGGAAATCAGCCTATCTTAGCCACAGCTGGCCCACTGGGTAGCTGGAGAGCAGTGAGGGCATTTGTTTCTTCTGCCTGTCATGGGACTGTAAGGGACATGTCGTAAGTTTACTGAATCACAAGGCTAGTTTAACTATATAGTTTTTTTGTTTTTTGTTTTTTGGACAGGCAGAGTGGACAGTGAGAGAGAGAGAGACAGAGAGAAAGGTCTTTCTTTTTCCATTGTTTCATCCCCCAGTGGCCGCTATGGCCGGCTGGTGCGCTGTGGCTGGCGTACCACGCTGATCCGAAGCCAGGAGCCAGGTGCTTCTCCTGGTCTCCCATGGGGTGCAGGGCCCAAGCACTTGGGCCATCCTCCACTGCACTCCCGGGCCGCAGCAGAGAGCTGGCCTGGAAGAGGAGCAACCGGGACAGAATCGGGTGCCACTACTGGGACTAGAACCCGGTGTGCCGGCGCCGCAGGTGGAGGATTAGCCTAGTGAGCCGCGGCGCCAGCCCTATATAGCTTCTAACAGCAATCAATTATACCTTCTCCTCTGTTATTGGGAGCAGCCAAAAAGAAGACCCACAGTGCCCCAGGCACAGATGACCTCCTGTTTCCTGACTGCCGGGGAAGGTTTGCTTGGACCTGTCTCTGAGAAGTACAGGGTGGCCATTTGTCCTGGATTCTTGATGCTCCTGCCAGTCCCAGAGGTGTGAGGTGTTTTTCATGCATCTCCAAACTGTGTAGTACCGTGTATCAATGATCTCTGGAGTCAGGTAGCCTGGGCTTCCCTCCGTCTCAACTCAAGCTGCTCCACCAGGGGGCTGGGTGACTTTGAGTGTGGTAATTGGCCCCCTTCTGCCTCCATCCTCTCATTTGTAAAAGATAATAAGATCTACTTTATGGGAATGTTTTGAGAATTAAATCAGATTATGTGTATAAACCACTCAGATGGTTGCTAGCCCATAAAATAGAATTTTAGCTGTTACTGTTTTTTAATTTGTTCTTGTTATCCATAAAATGTAGATAGTATTAACTACCCTATAAGTTTTGAGAAAATCAAGTAAAATCACCTATGGAAAACAATATAAAGTATTATAAATATAAACATAATATAAACTAATAAATATAAACATAAAAAATGGTAACTGTAATCAGTACATAAAATGGTTTGAAGATTGTATGTATATCATTTCTAATATATATGCATATGCATCTACACATACACAGATATATAAGACATTTTATACAGACATTCCCCAATTTATGATGATTTGAATTATAATTTTTCTGCCTAAAATGGTGTGAAATCAATACACATCCAGTAGAAACTGCACTTTGAATTTTGAATATTGATCTTTTCACAGGATAAGTAGGGATATACCTTATGACCTTCTTTTGTGGTGTTGGGCAGCTGTAAGTACACCTCGTAGCAGCCGAATGGTCAACCTGTGTTCTCCAGTTGACTCTACTGGTCAGCTAGATGTTAAGTAGGATAGGTAGATTAAATGCATTTTCTTTCTTTTTTTTATTAGAGAGGTAGAGTTACAGAAGTGAGAGAGGAGATAGAGAGAAAGCTCTTCCTTCTGTTGGTTCATGCTTTACACATGAATTATTTGTACACTCAATATATTCTTTTAACTATTCTGTTGCCAATTCAGTTAGCATTTATTGAGCCCATACTATGTGCTAGGCTTATAATTGTAATATTACTTCAGTCTATTGGATTGAGCATTAGGTTTGCCAGTCTTACTGATCACAGTTGGTATCTTTTTCTTTCTTCTCTCCTTGTACTTCAAATTTTTTTCTGTGGTATGTGACTACCTTCTTGTTTTATTCATGCATCAGAGTAACTCTGAGTGAACTTCTTGAATGCAGGTGAAATCCTCTCCTCGCCCATCCTAAGTGATTCCACAAAGTCCATTACAACGATTGGCTGTGGAAAAGACTCAGCAGGTGTATATGGGGTTCATCTGAGATTGTCAGGTCTTGTGCTCAGATGTATACCTTCAAAAATTATTGAGTTCCTGTGTATCTCAGTTTCCTTATCTGTGAAATAAATGGTTCAGATAGAGGAGATATGCGCAAAAGGTGATACATTCTGCAAAGCTGATGAAAGTTCACTGGCTTCTTGGAGTGGAGTATGCAAGCGAGCAGTGGAATGAGAGAGAGAGAAAGAGGCCAGCACTGCTGGTAGGCTGGGGGAGCTCTCCAGTTCTTTCTGGCCAGACAGATCTATGTTTTCACATAATCTGCTTGTCAATCACCCTACCCCTTTCCATTTATTTGACGCATACTGAGCATACAGCATTATTCAAATTTTCAGTAGTTTCTTTATGTTTTTGTTTTTTCCTCCTTAGTACTCTGAAACCCAAATAGATTTACACCCCATGGAAACTTGCCCATTTAAAAACCAGTGGCATTCTCTAACCAAATATATGTTTATTTCTGACTTGAGCTAACAATCCAAAGCAATGAACTCATGAAAAGGTAATTGTGAGACAGTTATGCTTCTGATAATTTTGAAAATGACTTTTATTTTTTAGCAACTAAATAACTTTGGTATTTTTAGCAATACGGTAGGAATATACTTCAATCATAGACTCAGAATGTACATAATCAAAACAGAATATTAAAAAAAACACTGATCATCTTACCACCACACAATGACTGCTGTGAAATGTTCCAGCTGCCATTTCAGACTTCTTTCTATTGTTACACGTTACGTAGACATAAAGATATGCATTTCAAACAAAAACAGAACCACAACATACTTTCATTTTCATGATCATTTTCCTTTCTACAAAGGACATAAATATCACTTTTCATTCTACACCAATAAACATCTATGTATTAAATTATTTTTAAATTTGAATCCAATTATTTCATGATATTCTGTTGGTGTTTTGGAAGAATCTTCAAGATAGCAACCATCTTTCTTGCCTAAGGTCAGAACTAGGTGAAAAATAAAATATCACCTTTAGTGCACAGGAGTCTGATTTTGGATACAGCAGCTAACTGCTGAAGACTGGTAGGTTTCCTAATAATGAACCCCACAATTAGAATGTATCCTCTAGTCTCTGGCAGCATTACTGGACAGGCAGGTCCTGCCCCTGCCCCCACAGAGAACAGGGATCCCAAGGCATAGGAGGCAGGGTCTGGCTAAGCATATGCTGTTATTGCTCTCAGGTTCTGCAGTGAGAAAAGTCACACCTCTTGGTCTGTAGAAGGCAAGAGCAGGTAGAGAGGAGCAGAGATCGCCCTGGTGGTGCTGCCTCCACCTCAGAGAAACAGCAAGAATAGGGAAGAGGATCCTCTGAAGGCATGGATATGCCATAATTTATACAACCAGCCCTTATGAGACATCTGGCTTGTTTCCAATCATTCCATTATATCACAAATTATTTTGTCTGGACATGATTATTGTCCCCCATAGATACAAAAGGGCTTAGTGTTGTCTGGGATCATGTGGTTAGTGCTGGACCTGCACTTTGCATTCAGATTCTCTTGACTGCAAAATCTAATATGCCACACCTCCAAGACAGCTCTGGGGAAAGTCCTGATGGAAGAGCTGGACTTACAGGGCCTTAACCACAGACACAGAACAGCCAGAAAAATATGCAAAAGAAATATGCAATGTGAAAGTAATGTGCAGTGGGGGCCAGTGTTGTGACACAGCGGGTTAAGCCACCCCTGAGATACTGGCAAGCCATGGGAGCATCGGTTCAAGTACCAGCAGTTCTACTTCCCATTCAACTCCCTGCTAATGAGCCTGGACATGAGGGGGCCTGGATGGAGGTCCACACTCCTGGTTTCAGCCTGGTTCAGCCCAGTAGTTGTGACTATTTGGGGAGTGAACCAGTGTGGATGGAAGACCTCTCTCTCTCTCTCTCTCTCTCTGCCTTTTTCTCTCTATAACTCTGCATTTCAAATAAATAAATAAATCTTTTTAAAAAAAAGAAAAAAAGGAAAGAAAGTGAGCAAGGAATGACGAAAAAGGAGGGAGGGAGGGAAGGAAGGAAAGTTAGGAAAGATGGAAGGGAGGAAGGAAGGAAGGGAGAAAGAGAAAGAAAGAGAGGGGGTGGGGAGAAAGAGAAAGTATAATGATGTGGTACTCACCACCCAGTGACCCCAGCAAGATGGAGCCAGGGGCAAGCTTCTGTGAAGAAAGCACTGTTCCATGTAACCCTGCCAGCCTGTCTCCACAGACGTTATCCGTCCTTATCGCTTCTCCAATGGGCTGCTGCGCTTCAGTTCCGCCAATGGTGACCACACCTAATCCCCACTTCTTGCAAGATGACAGCGAGAGAGAGACGTGCATCTGCAAAGCTCAGGTTTCTGTGGTAGTTTAATAGAAACTTTGTCATAAACTTGTCAAATGGAGAAACCTGCACATGAGTATCAGAGACGAAACTCCCACCAAGATGGCGGGGATTGGAACCTCCATGGTCACCTGCTGGTAGGACCCGAGGGTGGGTGCTTCCTGGATGGTAGGCGCTTCCAGTGTGTCAGTCCCTTGCTCCCAGTCACCTCTGGTTTCTAGCCTGTGCCCTACCTCCCTCACCTTTCATATCTCAAAGCCCCACTGCTCACTCTGACTTGAGATATGGTCGCAGTTTGGCTTTTTTTCCTTTATCAAATGCCTAGTGTGCTTTATTCATCTTGGATCTGCTAAGTGGTTGGAGATGACTTTTTCCCTAAGTGTCGCTCGACTGGATTGTAGCAAGTCTTGATTTAATGCTGGTGGTTCCATTCAGGGAGGAAAACAACACTGTGTAGTAGAGAATGGAAACAGTTGGGTAAGCACAGGCAGGGGGAAGCTGTAATTCATCCGAGACCACAGCAGAACACAAGGGGTGAACAGGCAGGGCCACATCAGGAGGAAGCTGGAATCCGGGCACTCTGACATGGAATGCAGGCACCCCAAGCGGCCTCTTTATTCTATTTTTAGATTCAAATTTTTGTTGAATGCTCTTGGCTGTGATTTTCTTGTTTTCGTGTTGCATCTTATAAGCTAGGGATATGAAGTTGCTTTCAAAATACACTGCTGTCTTTCTCTGGAAAAAGAATACTACACAATGTTGAAGACTGTGATGGCTCGAACATAATTGGGCTCTGAGCTCATGTAGGCCTTCAATCCTCAGGGTCATAGGCTGGTAGTGTGGAGAGGGTAGAGCCTCTTTGTGGTGTTAGGAGGCGAGTAGAGCAGGAGGTCCTTGGCTCATGCCCTCAGAAGGCGTTTCTCACACGAGTGTTGGTTATAAAGACAGAGTTGGGCCTAGCCTCTTGCTGCTTCCTGCTTACTGTGTGATGGTTCTGCACACACTGGCCTCATCAGTCAATCAAGCCAATGTGGCTTGCCCGTTCTTAGACTGTAAGCCTCTAAAATAATGAGCTGACAGAAACCTCCTTCCTTCTTAAGTAGCTTACCTTTGATATTTAGTTAGAGTGGTAGAAAAAAGGGGCTAGTACAAAGACAAAAGGCTTAAATCTATATATTTTGGTGAACATCTACTTTCTAAAGAGGGTGATTTTTTTAAGCTTAAGAAAATGAGTTTCTCTACATTGTGATATATGAACACTTTATTTCTTTAAGATTCACTTTAGTTGCTTGAAAAGCAGAGTTACAGAAAGAGAGGAAAAGACAGAGTGAAAGAGAGAGAAATATTTCATCTTTTGATTCACTCCCCAAATGGTTGCAACAGCCAGGGCTAAGCCAAGCTGAAACCAGGATCCAGGAACTCCATATAAATCTCCCACATTGGTGGCAGGGGCCCAAGTACTTGGGTCATCTTCGGATGCTTTTCCAAGTGCATTAGCAGGAAACGTGATGGGGAATGGAGTATCCAGATCTCCAAACTGGTGCTCAAAATGAGGTGCAAGTATCACAGCTGCAGCTTAGCTCTCTCTGCCACAAGACTGGCCCTATGTGAGCACTATAAAAAAAGGTGTGGCTAAGAGGAGATAAGGAAGTCTTACCCCACAGGAGACAGAACATGACCCAGTGAAACCTTGATTCAGTGTCCTATCCTGCAGAGCTGTAAGAGGATTCATATCTATTGTTTTAAGCTACCAAGTTTGGGATGCTTCATTAATCAACCCTAGGAAACCGTTATACGTGCCCATGACATTTCATGACATTTTTGTAGTTTGGGCTCCTGTTGACTCCTGTCTACAGAACAGTCTCCAAGTGCTACCCCTGAGATCTGTCTGCTCCTGTCTTGCCTCTCTTGTTCCCCAACAAATTCCACTGTGTCTGATGTAGCTCGAGTGATCTCTGGAGGATTTGCTTAGATCAAGTTACTCTCCTAATTACAATTCATTGCTCTTATAATAAAGTCTCCATCTTTCTTCACTGTTGGTCCTCTCTATCCCTTCTCCTAACTTGGCTCAGCCTCAGTTCTCTCAGCTTCCACTTCCCTGTTTTCCTCCACTGGGCTAGAAACCATGAGAAGTCTTGGGTCTATCTTCATGGATCACTGTGATTTTCTTAGATACAGGATTGTGCTGGATGTGGCTAACATACTCATATAACCAATTACTGTATTAATTAATAATAAAAATATCCTGAGAGTAAATGTGGAGACCAAGAGTCATCAGTATTTACATGATATCCAAATTAAGTGCTATGGACTTGCTTGCATTATAGCTATCCATAACCCCTCTCTGTTGCCAGGACTTAAATATGTTTGCAAAAACTCCATAGAGTAGGACAGTTTGTCTTCCTTTGCAGATGGAGCAAAAAGCACAAGAAAGTAAAGATACTTATCTGTGGTTTATGAAAATTATGCGGAAGGCAACACTGAGTTTTCTCAAAATGGAGTCAGGGTTCCCTTAGGAAGCAGAACCAATGCACATCTGCAGCAGCTGCCGAGAACGTGAACTTGGCTGGCCTCTGCCCCGCGGCATCTGGAGTGGCTGGGACCAGACACGTGCACAGCAGGAAGTTATCAGATTCTTGTCTCATGGATATTTCCATTCTTTTTCTACATTCTTTTCTCTTTTGTTTGTTGCATAGCCCTTGTTCTTTCTCAACATTCAATATCCCATATAAGCTCCTGCTTTCTGCCTTTCTCAGATTAATTATTCAAAACCATCTGAAAATATGCCTCCCCAATTACAATTCCTATAACTCCCAAATAAGAAGTCCATTTCAGTCTTTTGGTTTCTACGTTTGGATTGATTAACAAGTTATACCTTTAGCTGGTTGTGAGCTCATTGGTTTGAACCCAGACAGTCTAACTTCAGACTTTATAGTTTTAGCATAGCTCCATTTTTCCAGGATACTTTGGGTCAAATATTCACATCTGTTTTGGGACCATGTATCAGAAGGTCACCTGTCTTTATTTTTAGGTGGATACCTACAATACAGTGTAAAGAAATACATTGTTCATATGCCTTATGTGCAAAGCTCTCTGGACATCTAGGTGACAATGTTCAAGTTCTTTTCTTTTTATTTATTTGACAGGTAGAGTTATAGACGGTGAGAGAGAGAGAGAGAGAGAGAGAGAGAGAGAGAAAGGTATTCCCTCCGTTGGTCCACTCCCCAAATGGCTGCTACGGCCAGTGCTGCGCCAATCCGAAACCAGGAGCCAGGTTCTTCTTCCTGGTCTCCCATGTGGGTGCAGGGCCCAAACACTTGGGTCATCCTCCACTGCCCTCCTGGGCCACAGCAGAGAGCTGCACTGGAAGAGGAAGCAACCGGGGCTAGAACTTGGCGCCCATATGGGATGCCAGTACCGCAGGCGGAGGATTAGCCAAGTGAGCCACGGCGCCGGCCTGATAATATTTAAATTCTGACATTATCTTCACTCAACATCATTTAGTGAGCACCCGCTATGCACCTGCTATCCAGGTTCTAATAGAAACATTGGCCACACAGAGGTGATCAAACTAAGTCTTGGCCACAGGAGCTTATGTTCTGATAGGTGAACCAATCAAGCAAATGAAAATATTGTAGTTCAGGGTGATAATGTGATCATGATTTCATATCCAAGATAAAGGAGCAGTCCTGGACTTTATTCACTCTGGGAAAAGGAGCCACAGGAAAAAATGTCTGGCTGTTGAGTAGACAAGATTAAACAACATTTGCCAGTGTGTGGGTATGATGGAAGCGGTGGGGGCAGGAAACAAGGACTTGTTAATGTGAAATAGCATAATACTTTTTTCTTTTTTTAATTAAATTCTAAGCAGTTGAGTAATATCATAACAGAAAAAAGACAGCAGAGGACAAACTGAAGCAAAGGGCCAGAGCCAGAAGCTAATAGACAGTCCCTATCATTCCAGAGAGCCTGAATCTCCCAAGGGGCTGAAGGATTTGATGAAGGAGAACTGCAAAGACTTGCTTTACAAAGATAAAGTAGGTCTCCTTAACTTATAAAAAGCATGTTACATTTATCTCACATGTGCATATGTGCATTTTGTATGCAGATGATTTTCCATGTGTTTATCCAGGTAGATGCACACGCACATTATTTCTACTACTGTTCATTTCAACTGTGTGATACTGTCATTTTTCTAGGTAAAACATGGCTAAATATCACAATTTTCTAAGGTTTAAGTCTCATCTCACTGTCAGTTTGAGCTCTTCAGAATCAGATTGACACAAGAACTCAAAATAAGAAGCTGTGCTGGGTATCATGATGCAGCGGAATAAGTTGCCTCTTGGAACTGCCACATCCCATATGGGAGTGGCCGATTCAAGTCCTGATTCCTTTGGTTCTGACCCAGCTTCCTGCTGATGCATCTGGGAGCTTACAGATCATGGCTCAAGAACCTGAGGCCCTGCCACCTATGTAGGAAGCCTGGATGGAATACTCAGCTCTTGACTTTCAGGCTAGTCCAGCCTGGCTTTTACAGGCATCTGAAGCGTGAAACAGAGGATGGAAGGTATCTCTGTGAGTTTCTTCTTCTCTTTCTCTTTCATTCTACCTTTCAGACAAACAAGCTTTAAAAAATAAATCAAGGAGTTTATGTAGCAGGTGAAGGGTAACTTGGGTGTGGAGGAGAAAAGGTGGCTGATAAAAACATGCTATCAAGCCAGCTACAACAGAGGGCAGCAGAAGCTTAATCCTGCTGAGTAGATGTGGAAGTCACTGTAGATTTCTTGCCAAGGGCACGGTGAGGGTTCTAGTGTATTTACACACTGACTTCCATCAGTAACTGCTTGGGAGCTGCTGTTAAAATTGGACAAAGTGGCCTGCTAAGCTTCAGAGAGAACTCCTCCCATTAATGAGATTCACATACTCCAGTTAGAAGTCAACCAGAATCTAGCTGAAAGCATGATTGATCTGAATCATTCTAATAAGCAAGATAACTGGGAAACCTTGCTCATTTTC